AAAAATTTACAAAGCCGGGTCAAATCTGGCTGAAGTTTCAAAAAAGGTCAGAACAGTGATTTTGGTCCTGCGGCTTCAAACCATGGATTCCATCGTCTGCTTATCTAGAGTGGTGAAAATTTAACCAGAATAATACTTTTAGTCAAGGGTTAACAAGAATATCTACTGTGCTCTAGTTTGAGTTTATCTTTCAATGATAGTTGAAATATTTGTTAGTTCCACAAATGTTGCACCATTGTTTCCAAAAATATCGCCGAACGAAGCCACTATTTTTTTCCGATAATTCTGAAACTATTTGTGTTTACATAAAAATCACATCCAAAAGAAACACGAGAACGACTTGGAGGAAGATCTTCCGTATCTTCCGAGAACGAAAGGGAAGCAAGAATAACAAAGTGAAAGTAAGAGATCGTCACACCGGAAATTCCCGCTACCCCTACCATATCCGAGCTTGGTAGTTTTCACCGCCTGTCTAATTCATTCCCTAAAAAAAGGGAGAAAAAAAAACTATGAGCATCTCCCCTCAAAAAAAAAAACTACGAGCATCCAAAAGGACTTTCTAAAAATCTCGTGCCACAACACGGTGCGCAATTGTACGCGCGGTGCCCTTTTTTCCTTCGAAATTGCTGAGCGTACAATGAAAACTTGTACGATTTTCATACCACGCAATCTCACACATTCATGAGGGTCCTCCAACGGCTGCTGATGACTGTCGTACGAAAATCGTACAAGCGTTGTCCTACGTGTAGCAGGGCTCTTTTTCCTTCGTGCGCTCCTCTCGGCCCCCATTTCCTCCTCATCATCCCCACGGCAAAAACGTGGCAGGGGCCTCCCGAAACCACCGCCGCGAAAATCCGGCAACGGCGACGGTGATGTCACGCGCGGCGCGCGCGCCCATGGTTTGAAGCCGCAGCCCAGGCAGCACCCACCCCATATCACCCACCCATCCGCCGCTGCCATGCCCATAAAAAGATGCAGACGTCGAGCTCCGCTCAGCAGAGGCATGGCGGGCTCTGAATCCTATACAGGGGTCTGCGCCCCGTCAGGTTCATTTCCGGGGTCAGCAGAGCCCATTTCTGGAAAGATCGGTGGGATTGGATCCGTCCACCGTCCCGAATCCTTGCCGCTGCTGCTGCTGCGACGCATCCGATCTCATCTGATCTCGCCATAGATTTCAGCGACTCTTTCTTAATTCCGCGGCCCTCCATCATTGGCCCCTGCCGGTCAGTCACAACTCGCCACGCCATTTTCACCCCCGATCAGCTCAGGCGGCAGTGAGTGAGCTCATCCGTCAGTCAAATGGCTCGAAGAAAACTGGAAAATTTTAGGAATGTGTGCCTCATCTTTCGCACAAGCCATGTTGGTTGGGCAATTAGGCCAACTCCACCGCGCGACCCCAAACGGACGTCCGTTTTATCCGGTTTTTGTCCCTTTGAGTAGGGATTTGGGGTCGTGTCCGGGCCTGTCCTGTGATGCGGTAGTCGTGCGCCCAGCGTGCGGCCGCATCCTTTTGCCCAATCCTGTCCGCGTCTATTTAAAAAAAAGGACGTTTCAAATGCCAAGCCCCAGTTCACGACCTGAGTTCATCACGCCGGCAACAAAGCCAGCGGCCTACACGACCATCGCCGGCAACACAGCCAGCGGCCGGCAACACAGTCAGCCTCCAAAATGAATAGTTGTCCTCACCGGCAACACAGCCAGCGGCCGTCAACACAGCCGGCCTCCAAAATGAATGTTTTTTCGTCGGCACACTGCCAGCGGCCCAGCTGGCGGGCGGCACCCATGCCAGCCTCCAAAAAGAACGGCCACGCCGATCGGACGACCTAATTCAGGCCTTCGGCGTCGAGCATCTCCTTCTGCTTGGCCTCGAACTAGGCCCTCGTCTTGTCGCTCATCTTCGACAAGTCCACGCTCATGATCGCAAGGGCCACCTCCTTCGCTTTGGTGGCGGCATTGGTGCCCTCGATGTCGAGCTGCCTCTACCTGGCGTTGACGTTGTCGGCCTCGATGTCGAGCTGCCTTTGCCGGGCGGCCTCTTCCATGTCGAGCTGCCTTTGCCAGGCCGCCTCCTCCATGTCTATCTTCCTCTTCTTGGCCGCCTCCTCCATCTCAAGCTTCTATCGTTGGAGGTCTAGGTATTGCTTCATTTGCTCGTCCTTACTTTGCCGCTTCTTCTCGTCCCTCACATCCTTATGTGACATCATGCCATGCAAAGTCTCATGCAAGGCCATGGATGAGGCGTCACGTATGTCGTCCACCTTTGAGTTGGTCTTGCCCCTCGGCCTCTTCAACGCCTCGCCATCCCCACCTCCGGCGAACTTGGCCGTCTTATTACCTCTATTCCTTTAAAGTTCACGGTATTGATCCTTGAACTTAGGGCAATTGTTGATGATCGTCCAACAATGCGTAAGAGTGAATGGCTTGTTATTGTGCCGGGCCTTGAATGCCTCCAAAGATTGAAATGCCTACACCACATGATCAACAACAAGTGAACATGCAAACATATACACGGCCGAAGTCTCATGGCCGTAGCAAGGGCTAGAAAGAGAAGAGCATACCATGTCTCCAACGCTGAGACCACTCACGGGCCGTGCTTCAACGCTCTCAAGTGCGGCACAATACTTGTTGCACTCTTGTTGGATGAACAATCATCTTTTTTTGAATCGAACCGATGCCACGGTTGCTTGTAATTTGGTAGGGCTCAAACATCTTCCTTTCATGGAATGTTTTGTGGACTCTCGTCCAAAAAACAATGCCCTTTTGTTGCGCGTCGGTCCTTGGATCTTGGCTAATCTCCATCCAACATTGGCAAATCAACTTGTCCTCATCTTGTGTATATGAACTGGTGCGAATGCTCTTCCGCTTCTTTTGTGCTTCCGCTCTTTGGGTGAGCTCGTCTATGAACAATGGAGCGCCACTAATATCAACATCATTGGCTTCATCTTCATCTTCACCTTCGACATAGATGTCATCGTCTTCATGCCACGAATCACCATGGTCGTAGTCAGCACGGTCGTCGGCCTCTTCATCGGGCACGTACTGGGCGCGGCCATCCTGACTTTGGGTCTCATCGGGGTCGTAGGCACAGCCATGCCCACCTGGAAGATCATGTCCTCCATGTACTGGTTGTAGAAGGGGTCGTCCACCGTCGGCGTTGAGGTTGGCATTTCGTCAAACAACACACGGGGGGCCGGCATGGTGCCCGTGAACGGTGCACGCGCCAGCTTTCTTTGCATCTCGACGGAAGGTTGCCCGCCGCTGCTGGACCCAGGCGTCACGTTGAGGTCGATGACGGCCGCGGGGCGTGGTGTGGACGGCGCGAACAAGCCCACGTCCGGCGACGCCGAGAAACGGGTCTGGCCGTCGTGCCTGGGTGGAGGAAAGCCGGGCGACATGGGTGCGGCGCGCGACGTCGGCGACTGGCAGTGCGTAGGCCGGGCGACCGACGAGCCTGTGCTCGCCGGACCGACGACCGCTGCATGGAACCCCGTCGGACGGCCCATGCCAAGCATGAGGATGGTGTGCGCTTTGTTGACGAGGTCCTCCTTCTCGTCGGCAGCGGCCTTGCACCGCGCGGCCTCCAGCTCCTCGCGCTGGGCGGCGAACTTGGCCGCGGCGGCATTCATCTTGACGGCCGCTCTCCGTTCCCTCTTGTTCGCCGATTCCACGTCCAACTTGGCGATCTCCTCCGGCGTGTACTCCGACCGCGGCTTCCTTGGCGCCTTCTTCTTCACCTTTGCGGTCGGGTCGAAGGTCAGGCCACCGGAACTCGGCGGGGCGTCGGCCATGGACGGGGGAGAGAGGGGGGGAGGGGGCGGGAGGGACGTGGGAGGGTTTGAGGGAAATGGCGCCAAATGGCCGTCGGGGGGTTTTTGGTTTCTCCCACCGATAGGCGGGCCAGGGGAGGACAAGCGCGCGCGTCCCGCCCGTCCGCGCGCTGTCCGTTTCATCCCAAAACCGGCGCAAGTTTGGGCTGGGGATGGGTCGAAAGCGGACACAAAGCGAACAAAAGTCCGTTTGCTCCCGCACGCTGGGCCGCCTTTTTTGTCCCTTTTACCCGAAACGGACGGGGCGGACAGGATAGGGTCGCGCGGTGGAGTTGGCCTTACATTCTGCTTTTAGTGTGGTGGTCTGGCTTGATGAGTGGAGTTGATCACTTGACTGGAGGCAGGCATGAGTTACTCAAAGACTGCAGTGGGAGGCATCTCGCAGCATTATTATCTAGGCCTGGCTAGGGCTAGGGTTTGGTAGGCCATGGAGGAAAAAGATGCCTTTAGTTCTGGTGAGTGGAGCAGGCAAATCAGGTCAGTTAAACACTCATCATCACCATCATGTCCCGTCCATCATCGTCGTCCTCAGCCATCATCATCATCAGTGCTGCTGCTGCTGCTACTGCTGCTCAAAGTAAAAGAAAAGAGGAACGGAGATGGAGATGGAGATGACCCAAAGCAAAGCAGCTCAATGTCATTATCTCTCACACACACGGTGGTGTAGTAGCAAATGTGCAGACATGGTCACTGCTGCCAGCAGGAGCAAACGAAAAAAGAAGAAGAAGAAGAAGAAGAAAAGGATGGGTGGCTCTGGCCTGCATGCACGCAGGCAGCCTTAAGATCAAAACTACAGGACCAAAGGCCAGCAGGCAGGCCACCTCTTTTTTTTCATCTCGTTCCTAAAGGGAAAAAAACTCAGATCCCTGCGAGTAAGTTTCCCAGGGCTGGTAAAAATGGCAGCAGCAGCTCAGCTGATCAGCTCGGCTGATCCAACCCCCACAAGTGACAATGACCCGCCAAGAACGCCGCTCCTTCTTCCTCGTCGACTCCTCTTCAGCTGCTGAATCAAAAACAGCAACGGCAATGTGCACGCACTGGTGATGGATCGATTGATCTGTGAACTGATCACCCCCATCCCCTGGTTGTAGCTAGCAAGGGGAAAAATTGAGTGCGTGCTTGCTTGTCGAGGCGAAGAAGACGGCATCTCGGTCGGGCCATCGTCGCGGGGGGTCATGTCGCCACCATCATGCCAGCCATGAAGATGTCCTCGTGCAGGGACGAGCAGGAGGAGCGAGGGGAGCCTCCCGTGGCCATGCATTTCTCGGCTTCCTCTTCGATCATGATCTCCTGGTCCCGGCACTCGGCGCTGCAGAATGCCTTCTCCCCACTGCAATGTTGACGCACAACAAATCAGCTTGCTTAGTATGAATTTCTTTCTGAAGATGCTTAGAAAGAAAGAACAGTTGGTGTAATTCATTCAGTTCAAGTGGCACTTCATTTTCTTTGGATTGCCAAAGAAATGTTCCGAGTTTTCACAGGATTTGTTCCCCAAAAGAATATGGGATGCTCATAGGCGAACAAATGCCGCAATTATTGGTTGGATAGACTGTTCTTTCAGGTGTAATTATTGGAGTATCTTTCTTGAGACTGAAAGACTGGGCGTACCGGTAGATGTAAATGTCGTTCCCCTCCAGCTTCTTCGTGCAGGTGAAGCAGGAGCTCAGGAAGTCCTCGCCCGGGCCGGCGGCGGCCTCGGTGGCGCGCTTGACCACCAGGTAGGACTTGGCGGAAGCTCCGTCCTTGGGTTCCACGGCGGCCTCGTCGCTCTTCCCGACCGTCGTCTGGGGCTCCAGAATGCAGTCCCCGAAGATGTGGGTCGTCTTGGGGTTGGGGCCGCGGGCAATGATGCAGGTGTAGTCCTCCGACTGCTCCACCTCGCTCGCCGAGACGGACCCGACGAACCGCCGGGGGCCGCCGGCGATCGACGCCGGCAGGGACCCCGGCCCCGGGAGCTCGCCGAGGTGGAAGCAATGCCGCTTGGCGCCGGAGTGGGCGCCGTCCGGCCGCCCGGCCTCCGGACCAGACTTGAGATCCCCGTGGAAGAACCTGCTGCAGGGCACCGACATGCCGGCGGTGGCCGAGGCCGGGCAGGAGATGGTCTTGCCGCCGAGCTCCGGCTGCGAGTGGCCGCCCCCGCCGCAGCCCTTGGCGGTGGAGCCGGCGCAGCCGTGCGTCCTGAGGCGCAGGCGCGGGCTGAGCACGCAGGTCTTGGCGGCGGCGGCGTCGGCGCCGGCCGCGAGGGCGACGTCCACCACGAGGCCGAGCCCCACCGGCTCGGCGTCCCAGGTCCTCGGCGAGCGCGGCGAGCGGAGCAGCAGCGCCTTGGGGTCGAGCGGCGACGTCGGGCTCCGCTCCGACTCGTCCGGCGCGCGCTTGGCGGCCGCGAGCCCGATGAACAGCCTCGGCACGGCGAACAGCGCGCCCCCGCCGCCGCCGCCGCGGGGCCTGGCGTCTCCTCCGCTGCCTCCGGCGGAGCCCGGGCCCTGGTCGGACACCATCCTCCGCAGCATCGCCGGCCGCCAACCGCCTGAAACCGGGGGATTGTTTGAGATTCAAGGACACGAAAGAAGAAGATCACAAATCCGCAACACGTCCTCCTCGCATCCCGGCGTCACCCCCATCAACAAGAAAGAAAGAAACGACGGAAGCAGCCACCCCCACCGCCATCACCAGCACCAGCACCACCGCCCTCACCTTTCTCGTTTTCCTCTTCTGCTTCTGCCGCCTGCTCCCTGCTACTCCTGCTGCTAGGCACGTACTCTCTCCACCAGCAGGAATATCTCTCTCTCCGTCTCTCTCCGACGCACGCGCTCTGCAAAGAGGAATGGCCCGGCGAGAGAGACGAGGGAGGGGGAGTGATGAAGAGGGGGGCGGAGGGAGGGTGAGAGAAAAGCAGGCGAGCTAGGGGACGGACGGAGGGGGGCACAGTCGCAGCCAAACCGCACTGTACTGCTCCTACTCCTCCCTCCCTCCCTACCACCACTCTATACTCCTACTCCTACTCTGCGTGCGTCACTTCCGCATGCATCAAAATCAGAGAGAGAGAGAGGGGTGGCGAGTGGTGGCTTGTGAAATGCAGCAACCAACGGGCGCCCGTTGGAGTTGGCGTCGCCATTCATGGGGGTGTCAGACAACGGAACGGGACGGGACGGACGCAGACGCAACAATTTTCAGTGTACTGTGCTCGTCCTCCGTACGCGTACAAATACGCCCTGGCCCTACGTACGCATGCATACCCTTCCAGAGGACGATCGCTTCAATACTACTGCGCTAGGCCCGTCACTTCACCCCTGGCCGGGTGCCAAAAATGTACAGTGATTTGGTACACGGCGGTATTTCCAATTTACGTGGGTGGTGTAGGATCAACATCTTCTCATACGTACGTACGTAGTACTGTATGTCTTCTCCGTGTGTTCCTTGTCTAGTCTAGAGGCGAAAGATGTAATGTTACGAAGCCTTGGATTCATTGCACCTAGGCCCGTTTTCTGAATTTTCTTTACGTATATTTGAGCTGATTGCCGTTCCAAACTTCCAATTCACCCGCTCCGTGCCAAATTCACTCGCTCGCTCGGGGGTTAGTGAGGAGAGCAGGTTCGGGCGTTCGATGAACATGGACGCTTCTCGGCGAGTCAGTTGGATAGTAGTACGTACGTATGTAATCGCTGTTGACTGAAAATGTCCAAAACACATTGCTTGTACTCCACTACAGCCAGTCATGTACCAGCAGCTCCTTCAAACCTATACTTACCCCGTCCGAAAATACTTGTCGAAGAAATAAATGTATCTACACCTATTTTAGTTTTAGATAAATTCATTTTTATTAATTTATAGGACAAGTATTTCCGGACGAAGGGGGTACCATTTAAATCCCCGTAGTTAGAGCATGTCTAGATCTCGTATAAGCCCGACGAACTATGTTTTTCTTTCCCGCGGTTATACGGCACAGTCGGAAAAAAATGCCCGCGATGATCCAAAAAATGACTAGAGCTGTAAAAACTTTACGAGAGGCATGTACACCGCCCTCCAATCTGCTACATATGTTGGCGCCCGAGCGATTTAGACTATCCAACTGTCTTTTTCTCTATCCCTCTCCACCGCATTTCATCCTCTCGATGAGAAATCAAGTGAGCTCTAGCAAGGTTTTCCACCAGATCTTGACGGCGATGGCGCCCGTGGATGCGGGGCATGGCGGCGGCAAGGGGTTCGGCGACCGTGGTAGGTTCGGGTGCCGCGAGGGGTGCGGCCGGTTTGCCGATCGCAAGCGACGCAACGACGACGAGGCCGATGGCTCCAGCCTCCGCCCTCCCGTGTCGGACAGGCAAAGGGAGGCGGCACGCACCCGCGACGTGAACTCCCGCAGCGCCGGATCGTGGCTTGAGCGAATTTCCGTCGCCTCGGCAACCTCTTCGATTCGGCCCTCCAGCGCCATAGGGCGGCCGAGCGCGCGTGGTTTGAGGCGAAGCAGGCCGCTGCAGCCGAAGATGCAGCTGCGGCCGCGCGCATGTCGGCGCTCCTGGAGGAGTACGAACTCACGGCGACCCTCCACGGCAACAGGCCCCCGCTCCGCGACGACAGCGACAACGACTCCGGCGACGAGTAGATCTATGCTATGCGTGTTTAATTTCGGTTTGTATTAAAAACTCTTCTATGCTATGCGTGTGATGAACTCCCCTATGATATGCTTGTGATGAACTCCGACGATATGTTTTAGCGCGACGGGATACCGTAAACGATTTTTATGAGCCGGCGGGTTACATGATCCGCTAGAGATGCTCATATACCGCGTTCCCTCCCACACGAGCGTTTCACTCACAGTATCACTCTACGCAAATACACTTCCATCAATCAATCAATCCCCAACATCATGTTTCCCGGCCAAATGAGTGGCAAAAATGAATCAAAAACCTGCATCACCATCATCATCATCAAGGACCGACCAATCAATCGCCCCCACCCAACAGTTCCTCCACCATTAACTAACTAAGCAAACATGGAAATCTTCCTCATGATCTCGCCCCAGTTTATTATTGCATCTCGCGTAGTACGTACAATCATTGGGCCTTTAGGGTTCTTCTGTTCTCCTCTCTTCTTTTCTCGCGCTGCGCTGCACTGCATGTGCAGTAAATTTAAAAGAGAGTGAAAATACGTACTGTACAGTATAGTGACCAGCGATGAGCAAAGCTTTTTTTCTCTAGTTTCGAAGCTGTGTCCCTCTCGGATTACTGGCGACGATGATGATGCTGGGCGCAAAGGTGTAAAGCGATTCCCCGAGCTTATACATTCTCGTGGTAATTCACCCTTTTTCTCTTTTCTCCAGGAGGAGTAGGAGTAGTATCTCTCGCTCTGTTCGGCCTGTGAGGCTGAGCTCGCTTTCTTCTTGATAAAGCAGCGAGGCTTTGGCCTTTGGGTTCTAGCACCGGTGCAGCACAGTGCACACAGGGCTACATTGTTTTCACTGTTACTTCTACTGGTTTGTGTCTACCCGGTACCACCACTACCACCTCCTTGCGTGGGCCCGGCAGGACTTATGCGCAATTTTTTCACAAGATGGGCTACTGCAAGAAAAGTCATGATGTGAATCAGACACTACGCGAAAAGTCTTTCTCTGAGAAACTACAGCATATTTAATGTGTATGTCTTTCATAAATATAGGAAAATTTATGCACTAACATGTACCAAACCCGGAGTAGTCACTTTGGAGTAATTTTTTTATGTAGCTCGTTTTTTTTCAAAACGGAGGCCAAAGATTTACCTCGTCCATTAATTAAGCAGAAGAGAGTTGTCCGGTTAATCAACGAAAATTAGGTTAAAATCATCACAAACCGCCCAGCGGCATACTCATGATACCCCACACACGCCTCAACAAAGAGTGTCTTGTCAATACACACTCTGACGTCATCGACATCAACGGACGTCATCGTCCTGTCTAAACTCTGACTAAGCGACTCCGACTTTGCTGAAGACGAACATCGACACAACCCTCACCGACTTACCATAGTGGCCGTGCAGAAACACAAGAAGGCCCATGCCAGACTCAGCTACCCACACCGAGGCCAGCGCAGCTTCAACTCTGATGAAGAGCTCCAAAGAAGAACAATGCAAGGGTGACGCCGCAAAAGACCACCGAACAAACCACCTACTGCCTATCATCATTGCCGCTAGGGCCCTGCCACCGCAGCTCTAACTTCACCGCAACAAAAAAACCGAGGTAATCCTACGGACACGCCAGAGAAGAGCTGACTACCTCAACCAACGCCATGCCTCCGACTTCACTCCTCTCCACTATCGTTGCCACAGAAGCCCTCGACGCCTTCCACTAGTTCCACTTGCCGATGCCAACTGCAAAAACGAATCCCTCAAGAGTGGAACCGACGCCAAAGGCACCGACAACGTCCGACCAGACAGGATCTAGGGTTTCCTCTTGAGTCAGAACCATGCGTGAGGGTGTAGCAACAATACTATGATACCTCCAAGAAGGTCTACGACACTCACAGCCGCCGCCATCGCCAGTCACAAGCCCAAGGTCAAGACAACGTCTTCACCCAAGCTCCCAAACACCCGCATGTATCAGGGTCGGCAAGTCCACCAAGCACCATGCCGGGGGGACCCCGGGTAGGTGCATCCACACTTAAAAAAATTCAAAACATCATGGCGTCAGGCGCCCCTCAATCCGGCTCGCCCTCCAGCTGGCCATCCGGCTCCAGGGCCGGCCGGGCGCGGCGACAAGGCTCCAGCCGGCAGGCGGTGGGTCAGCGCCCATGACATGCAGACGTACGACAAGACTGCACTCCCAAGACGGGGAAAGCGTGGCAACATTACCCCCTGCCTCATAGTTGACCGACGCAAGCATGCCAATAGTGCAGACGGTACCGCTGATCGGGGCGGTGGTGTCCAGGCGACGGGGCACTATAGCCACGACGGGGAAATTCATCATGTAATCAGGTCAATTTGTTGGGGCTTGATCCCTAGTATCCATTATGTTGTAAGGTTAATGTTGCTATAACTTTGCTATGCTTAATGTTTATCACTACGGCTTGAGTACCATGATTTCATATCTGAACCTATTGTGTTCTCATTATATACATTTCAGTTCGTGATCCTATCTGCAAGTTATATTCACCTATAATTGTTCTGATCTGTAGACTCCAATCTGGTAATAATTAGAATGCTCTTCGGGGGATGACTGTAATTTAAAGAGTTTATCTATTCATTATTTGTTAATGTTTTGTTCTGGTTCTCTATTAAAAGGTGTGCCTTAGTTACTGAGGGAGTCCTGGATTAGGGGGTGTTCGGGTAGCCGGACTATACCTTCAACCGGACTCCTGGACTATGAAGATACAAGATTGAAGACTTTGTCCCGTGTCCGGATGGGACTTTCCTTGGCGTGGAAGGCAAGCTTGGCAATGCGTATATTCAAGATCTCCCGTCATTGTAACCGACTCTGTGTAACCCTAACCCTATCTGGTGTCTATATAAACCGGAGGGTTGTAGTCCGTAGGCGATCAACTCC